CCACTGTCAAAACCAATATGCAGAGAGCTGGGGAGGAACCTGATAGCACAGAACTTCTCAGGAAGACCCAACTGCTTTGGGGAGCACCTTACTGGTTGTTACCAGAGTAGTGCAGTTCCAGTGAGTGAGCTGTTCTTCCTCAGGACTTGGATCCCTCCAGCTGTTTGCCAGTGTTACCAGAGCTACCCTGGACTTCAGAGGGGTGATGTTTATGAGGACAGTTGAAATTAGCTATGTTTTCTGCTGTTTTACTTAGGCAGTGATTTTCAGCTTGACTTTAAGTTGTTATAGAATCTTATAGAGACTGTACTATGGGGCCACAGGTTTCCCTGACTGGGTCACAGAAAGTTTACTGTGAAGAGTCCATCTATGTGCAGTTTTCATAATCTATTATATATGCGTGGATGCTGTTTGCCATTTTGACCCTGTTTTGTATTTTTAAATCCAACCGTACACCTGTTTAGTAAACTGCAAGTTACAGTTTCTGTCTGATCATTGATTACCCATCCTGTTACACTATTACATCAACTGGCTTTTATCAAAAGAAATTGGTAGGAAAAGCACACAGTAAGGGAAGGCCAGAGGGTCAGTGCTGCCTTTCCGGCAATTTGCACTTACAAGAGGATTATGGTGGAAAGAGGCTATAACAACAGAAACCTCAATTAACTCACACCCCAGAGAATCTGTCAGAGGGGGCTTCACTTACTGCGGTCCTCAAAAGACATTGAAACTGGAGGCCTCACTCAGTCATGTCATATATACAACTATCAATAGAACTCAAAGGTGCAAAGTAAAAACTTTAAATAGCCCTCCCTTCTCCTTACTGACCCCAGGACATTGACAGGTCTTGTGTATAGATACTGACCCTGGTGCAGAATGGTCTTGTGTGTAGTTACTAACCCCTGAGATAGAGACACATTTTCTGCATAGATTTTGACCTTGAGACATTGATCGATTTTGTGCGACGATACTGACCCCAGGACAGAGATGGGTCTTGTGTGTAGATACTAACCCTGGTGAAGAACAGGTCTTGTGTGTAGATTCTGATCCTGGTGCAGAACAGGTGTTGTGTGTAGTTGCTGACCCCAGGATCAAGATTAGTCTTGTGTGTAGATATGGACCCTAGGATAGTGCTAAGTTTTGTGTGTAGATGTTGATAATCGTTGTGCATAGATTCTGACTCTAGGGTAGTGCTAGGCTTTTTGTGTAGATTCTGACCCCAGGAAAGAGATAACACGGATGTGTATTTTGTGACCCTGTGACATTGAAAGGTCTTGTAAGTAGATGCTGATCCCAGGACAGAGATGAATCTTATTTGTAGATTCTAACCCCAATACATTGACAGGTCTTGTGTGTAGTTACTAAGGGGCGTATTTACCACAAGGCAAACAAGGTATTTGCCTAGGGCGGCATTTTTCAGGGGGGCAGCACCATTTTTCAGGGGGGGCAGTGCTGTCCCCCAAAAGAAGGGATGGAAGAAGGGACACATGCAGCATGGGGACCAGGTGGGAAATGAGAGAGGCTGCGGGTTGCTTGATGGTGTATGCAGAGCCTGACTCTTGTTCCCAGGAATGTCCAGAGCTGTGAAGGTGAGTGTCTTCTCTCGACAGAGTGGGGGGTGGTGGTAGTGAAAGGGTCTCTTGGGTGGGGGGGGCTGGGGTGTTGTTGGTCAATGTCAGGCTTTCTTCGTGGGGGCATGGGGGTGTTGGCCGGTGTCAGGGTCTCTCCATGAGGGGGAGATGATTTCTGTGTTGCCTAGGGCAGCAGGAAACCTAAATACACCTGTGTAGTTACTGACTCTAGCAAAGTGCTAGGTCTCATGTATAAATACTGGGTATTGTGTGTAAATACTGACCCTGACACATTGATGGGTCTTGTATGTAGATACTGACCTCAGGACAGAGAAGGGCCTTGTGTGTAGAAAGTGATCCTGGAACAATGCTGGATCTTGTGTGTAGATACTGAACAGGCCAAAGTCAGAGGCTCTGTGGGATCATGTACTCTTAGTTTACTGTGACTGTCGCTTCCTTATCAATCAGTACTTTAGAATGCCAATTTATTTTTACTGCCAGCACAATCATTAGTCAGAGGGTCTCTCAGACATCCTTTCTTTACATCTCTCACTTCCCTCTGGAAGCCTCAGCAAATATTGAGTCCTGTCCCAGTGGACCTATAAATACTTTAAATGGTCCCAGACTGTATAGAACAGCTTGTAGCTGTGCATTCCAGTTTTGCTACCAGTGCAACACTGTTCATTCTGCTTCTTAAGTAAATAACCTACAAGTTTGATTATGTATCCCAAATGTTTTGTGAGACAAGGAATCCCAGCACGGGAACAGTCCTACAGTCCAAGCTCATCAAGAGTCTCGAAATCCCAGCAAAAGGACAATACCACAGTCCAAGCTCAGGAGTCCTGAAATTCCAGCACTGGGACACTCCCACACTGAAATTCCAGCACTAGGGCAGACCCATTTTCAGGAAGAACCCTGAAATCCCAGTAATGGGTCAGTTCCACAGTTCAAGCTCAGGAAGAATCCAGAAATCTTAGCATTGTGACAGTCCCACAGTCCAAGCTAAGAAAGAATCCTCACAGCCATTCTCAAACATAATGACTTATCTAATTGTTAGAGGCCAGTCCTCTTGGTGCTTCCATGGTAAGGAGCCAATGTCTGTGACTATATGCCTTACCACATTCATGGTATTTTCTATATGCTTGGTTGCTTCCTCAGTTGAATGCCTTTTGTACATAACTGGAAAGCTTACTTTGTATGTTATTTGAAGTCTATGTTCTATTGTAGTCTGTTACTGTCATGCGCCTGGGTTTGAACCTTGGTTCTTCCAGCTCTGTGCTGTGGTGCTGTTTGCTCTGCCACTGGGTAATCTGACTCTCTGCAGTTTACACTCTGTTTAGTACATCTGCTCCTGGGACTCTTTAGCTCCTCTTGCCTTCCAGCAGCAGTTGATCCACAATAAACCAAGTTTAAATTGTAGGACTTTCTGTGTACTGGGCCGTTTGTCGGATCTGTTTTCTTGAGGGTGTGCTATACTGCTGAGTTACTGAACTTCTGGACTTTGACCTCTGACTGATTAATGGATTACTCTCTTTGACTGATGATTCTGCTTTACTCTGCCAGTCTGTGTATGACCCTGCCTGCCTGCACCCATGCTTCTGGATTCTGACTTTGTACCTTGCTGTCAAGGTTTGTTGCTGACCTGGCCTGCCTGACAATGCTAACGCCTCAACCCCCAGCCAAAGCTCCACTCAGGACTAATCCTTTTACAGGTACCTTACAGTTACTCGCCTTTAAATTAATAAAAAAAAAGAATCCTTAAATGCCAATACCAGGACAAACTCATAATCCAAGTTAAGGAACAACTATGAAATCCTAGACTGCCTAGATAGCCCCACAGCCTAAGATCAGAATTAATCCTAAAATCCAACACTGGGACATCCTCATAGTCTGAGCTCAAGAAGGAATATGGAATCTCAGCATTGGGATGGTCCTGTAGTCCAACCTGAGGAAGAATCCTGAAATCCAGCACTGAGACAGTTCCACAGTCCAAGCTCAGGAAGAACTTTGAAATCCCAGGACTGGAACAGTCCCACTGTCCAAGCTTAGGAAGAATACTGAAATCCTAACACTGGGACAATCCCATAATTCAAGATAGGGTAGAGTTCTGAAAACCTAGCATGGAGACAGTCCCATAGTCTAAACTCAGAAATAATCCTGAAATCCCAACCCTGGGACAACCCCATAGTTCAAACTCAGGAAATTCTCCAAATCCTAGCACTGTGACAATCCCATAGTTCATGCTCGTGAAGAATATTGAAATCCCAGCACTGTGCTGGTCTCACAGTCCAAGCTCAGATCGAGTCTGGTAAAACACTTTTCTCAGAATAGTATAATTGCCACTTTTATTGGCAATAAAGAGCAGGTCAAGAGAGAAGTAGAAGTTCAGGAAAGAGAGGTCTATAGAAAGCTAGACAGCTAGACAACTTAAAATCTGTTGAAGATGTTTTAAAGAGCTGAGATTATAATCAATAAAGGTGTATATATAAATCAAAAAACAAGGTGTCGCTGTGATTTCTGGTTTTAACTACTGGAGCACTGCAAGTAAACGCAGGTCTGCAAACGAATGGAGCAGCTGGAGACAGAGAAGAACTGGAGGATGGAACAGGAGAGGGAGCAGTTGCTACAGAGGGCTTTTTTACAGGGTTAAAGGCAGGATAGGTGCAGCGAGTGGGAACAGGGTACTGACATGCGGTAGATAGCCAAGTATACTGGGCTGTAACTGGGGGAGTTGTTGGGAATACAGGAGTAGAGCTTTGAGGAAATAGATTAGAAGCAGGACTGGGTTTTTGTAGGCTGACTGAGGCTGGGTGCAACAAGTCTGACCATGTCTGCAGTATGGGTTGAACAAAGCTGAGCTTACACAAAGCCTGTCTGACCAAAGACTGCACTGCGTTTATACAATCTCTTAGTACCTGTGGTGAACATGTGGAATAACGCTCCAGAAAGTAACCCACATCATCCTCTAATAACCATACCAGGGACTCTACCTGGTCTGCACTAAATGGTGGCAAAAATTCATCCCTGCATTCGGGGGAACCAGATGAAACCAACTCAACACAAACCTTAATCAATGGCTGCACCATAGAGAAATCTGTGCCCTGATCTACTAGAACATGAGCGAGCCGTATACATTCTAGCAGTTCATCCCGGGAATACTCCTTCAGAGTCTGATAAGCATACTCCCTGTCATCAAGCACTAGCAGAGATAAATACTCAACCTCATCCAGATCCATCCTTCCCAGCAACAAGCCAAGATGGCTTCCCTGTGCAGCCACTTCTGGTCAGGATTGGCGTTGGTGTAATGTCAGGGCTCCCAGGTGTGACCAGAGGTGTGTGACTGACGCAGGGAAATGCAGACTTCAGATATGTGATAAACAATATAATTTATTAACACTAACCATACAAACATAAACGCAGTGCAATACTAAACATAATACAGTGCAAACAAACCAAACCAACCACCCACAGATAACAGTACATACAAGCAAGCGTCGTCAGGCAGGCCGGGTCAATATCAATACGGCAGGTAGGTACAGGGGGAGCAAGCGGAGATGGGTCGGGGTCACAGGCCAGGTTCAGCAGGTAGCTAGCAGCGTAGTACAGAGGGTCAGGCAGAGGGATGGTCAGGGTCACAAGCCAGGGATCAGAACAGGTAGCAAGCAGCGTGGTACAGAGGGTCAGGCAGAGGGATGGTCAGGAGCGAGCCGGGATCAGAGCAGGAGAAGTCAGCAGCGGTTCAGATCAGGCAGGGTCAGCAAAGGAACAGAAACAGGATGCAGGACAGATACAGGGCCCAGGACAAACACAACACCAAGGCAGAGTCTGCAAGTCTGGCCATCCCTTAAATACACCAGTATCATCAGTTCCAGGTGTTAGCTGGCTGAAAGGTTGAGTCTCTGATTACTGGGAGCACCCGCTGGCCAGCCCTGGTACTGCAGATCAAAAGGCAGGTGAGTCCCACCATTGCTGGCCAGTCCATTCCTGACAGTCGCTTTCCACTATCAATAACGATGATATGAAATATATAAACATTCATTAATAGAAATAAATATATATACATATATATATAATAAAATAAAATGAGTGAATAAGTCCAACATTAATTCAGCAGCAGCATGATGTTACAATCACGCTTGTGCTGCATGCATGTCTTTGAATAATCTGTGATTTTGAAGTGTATTCTAATGGTGTAATACAAGGTAAATAACGTATAGTCCACCAATCTTAAATAATGTGCTCCTTCACCAGTTGTGCTCTCACCTGACGTATATGACCAAACCGTTAAAACTCCTATACACCATACAGAAAGAACAGGAGGTTAAATAGGAACAGGAAGTATTTGGTCACTTTCATACATCCGTCGCCTGCCATCTTTTGGATCCTGAGTGTAGCTGGGATGTGTTCTCCCCAGACCGGGCACTGTGTCCTCTCCTCCCCGGATCGCTGTGCCGGTGCTCCGCTCTGCTGGAGGACAGACAGCGAACTGACACCCAGCTTCCCGACTTCTCTCTGAGAAGAGAAGGTGCCCCACTATGTCACCAGGCGGCCGCGCCCCACAATGACACTCTGCTTTCTGCTTTTCAATAAAGATATATAGATTAACAATTAAAATGTGAGGACCTGAAATGGAAGATGGTGGCCTGTGTGACAAATAATAAGTAAAACTGCCAAAATATGAGGATGGCAAAGAATAGTCATACAAAAAGGGAGGCTTCTTTCATAAAAAAAGGGGAATTTTTGGTTACTGTATATTACCAATCAGTGACTGACTCATCTTATTTTCAGGTGGGTACTTAGCTACCAAATCAGCATATAAATTAGGAAAAGAAAAACAGTCGTAGATGTTAAAGCACTTTGCTGTCTTCTGATTGTATGCAAAAATATTCAATACTTTATCGAAAAAAAAAGGTCATGAAAAAGACTTGTTGTAAATGCTGCTTGTGCCAACTACCAACACGAAAAATAAACACCACTGCGCCATGTTAAAAGCATTTAAATTCACATCCAATTACTTGTTTGTAACATGTCCTCTATGACATAGGGAAGTAATGCCTTTTTCAATCTTATTTTGATTTTATGAAAAGTAAATGTTTCAAACGATTGTGGTAGTTGGCACAACAAAGTGTTTACAACAAGTTATTTTTATGACCCATTTTTGATTAAATAAATTATTGAATATTATGTATATACAATCAGGAGACAGCAGAGTCTTTTATTATCTACTACTGTTTTTCCTGTCTTTATTTATAGAAAGGATTCTTCATCTTCATAAAATAGCATTAATCAGACATAATTAATGCACACCGTCAAAACATAGAATCAGAAACCAGAAGATGAAGTGTCAGGCAATGGGCGGAAGCTAAATGGATGCTCATTAAAAAATGAACATTAAAATGGTTGTAAAGGCAGAAGGTTTTTACCTTCATGAATTCTATTCATGAAGGTAAAAAATCTTCTGGGTTCAGCCCCTCTCTGAGCCCCCCCTAATACTTACCTAAGTCTGATCTTGATCGAGCAAAGTGCATGAGAGCCGGATCTTCCCTAAGTCACTCTCTCCTCACTGGCTAGCACAGCACCGGAGTCATTGGGGGTGGGGGTGGGGGGGCAGGGCCGATCCATGCTCTGTGTGTGAATGGACAATACCCATTCACAGGATCATGGCTTGGGAGAAAGACTGTTTGAGTGCCCCTATACCGAGAGGCTTGCTAGTGAGGGCACTTAGCGGGAGGGGGGGACTCGAAAATAAGAGGATCAGGGCTGCTCTGTGCAAAATCATTGCACAGAGCAGGTAGGTATAACATTGGCTCCTGCTGCTGTCAATCAAATGCAGTGAGGAGGAAGTGGGGGGGAGGGCTAAGCCCTGCTGTGTATGTCTATGGAGTGAGGCTTGCTATCGGGCCACATAAAGAAGAGGAGGAGACAAGATCGCCGGCAGGGGACCCTAGAAGAGGAGGTTCAGTCACGCTCTGTGAAACACCATTGCACAGAGCAGGTGAGTATAACATATATACTATTTTAATAGAAAAACATTTTTACCTTTAGTGTCAGTTTAATTCTTTTATCAATATGATAACCAACATCTTTGGGGATTACCTACACTATCTAGAATTCTGATTCTTGGGTTTCACCTCATTTTAGTAGTGGATAATTGAAGTAAACGCATCAGAGAGTTTTAACTTTGGAGAGCTGAGACTCCACTGCAGGGCTGGAGGCTGCCTTGGCTTGACTTCCAGCAGTGGTGCCAGTTCCAGGACAGAGTGCCCCTCTGCAGCATCACATACAACAATCTGTTCTATTATAAGACTAGCATTTCTTCTTGGAGTTAGGCAGAGGAAGTTGGACGGAAACCTCATATCATTTCCTTTAATGTTTGGTTTTTGTGTCCTAGGCCAGTCTGGTAAAAGTACGAGAGACCATTGGGGGGTCAGAAAAGTAAGCTTCGGACTTCTTTGATGGTTTCACTCCTCAGGGCGGCTGTACTCTATATTGTAGAAACTGCAGATTTGTTTCAGATTTGTTATAAAGTAAAAGGTGATTTGAGTTGGCCCGAATCCCTAGGATGTTGATGCAGAAATTCTCTATAAATCAGGAAGAGACGGTAAATGAGAGGAAGGAGAAGGAAGCGGACTGCTTTCCATGAATCATCGTGAGGGAAATAACACTTACAGATAGATCCATCAAATTATATTTATGAGCAAACAATGAAATATATTCATAGAATGATCAGTTTTCCTGTGACCGTGAAGCTGCGTTATGCAGACCAACCTGGCCTAGCGATAAATCACAATTTCCTCTGCGATTTACCCAGAATTCAGTGGGATATTCTATCGTATTTCCAGACTGCAAAGGAGAGAGCAGACTGGGAAATATCTTGAAGTTCATGACTTTAGCATAGTTGGGTTATTGTATACTAGCATTAGCCCTCTGAAGAGAAATCCACAGTGAATTGCTTTACAAACAGCATTTGATAAGCAGTGAGAAAGTGTCAGCTCCTCACCTCCTGTTTTAACCCGTAAAAGCTTGCATCACTACGCCCCATTCGGTTTAACGCAACAGGTTTTTTTTGCTTTGCAGTGGACATTTGTACACCCTCAGCTATTCCCTTTGCAGTTTAAGGGGGAAAGATGGTAAAAATGATGCTCAACTGCATGTTTTACTGCCCCCCTTATCCTCTTCCCTTTAAAACAACAGGTGTAAACAAACACTAAGTAAAGTGCAGAGCTTGTATACTCATCACTTTATTATGAAACCCTGCACACCTGATTACCCATGCAATCAGTATCATGGCAGTGGTGTAATGCAGATAGGGGTCGGAAGCTACAGTTCACATGTCCATATTAAGCATCAAAGTGAGGAAAATTGTAATCTCAGTGATTTTAACTGTGTCATGGTTGTTGTTGACAGGCAGGCTGCTTTGACGTTTCCTGTAACCACCGATCTCCTGGGATGTTCGCATACAAGTGTTTACTCAGAATAGTGCGAAAAACAAAAACCATCAAGTGAACAGCAGTACTGCAGACAGAAAAACCTTGTTGGTGTAGAGTCCTCCTAGTTAGTGTAAATTTCTAGGTACATTTAGTTTAGCTCCTCTGTAATTAGTGGAGCAAGGATTAATTGTTCTAGCCTGCTCAGTGTTTCACAGGCCTAGGTGAGAGGGAGAGAGTTCCTTGGTCCAGTTCTGTTCATGGGGCAGGTTTACTGAGGGGGCATCTAGAAAACATCAAGGTCTCAGCTGAAGCTTTAGCTGGGGGGCCTAATCAGCAAGCCTAGTCATGGAGTCGGTCTGGGTCTGGAGAAGTTCAGTGGAGAGTGCCTGGAGGAAGTTGGGGGGGAAAGTTGTCCAGCTGTACAATGGTGGTGTGAGTCTGTATCTCTCTCATTGAAGAGTGTCCAAGGGATATTGGAAGGAGGCAACATATAATCCTGTGGCCGTCTCAGTAGGTGACCCCAGTGGTGGAAATTAGTGACTGAGTGCCGCTTGTGGTCTTTCGGGAAAGTCCTAGTCACCTGTCAGCAGTAGAGATTCTGTGGGACATTTTTACAGCTTAGAAAGATAGAGAAGGTGTTCTCAAAGTGTTCGGTTCACCAGTTTCTTTATTGGAGTATCCCATGCTGCTCCCTTCACCCCATCCAAGTTCATTTTTCCAGTAAAATCCTAAAGAGACATCTCTAGATTGTTCCATTCGAGTCAATGAAAGTGGAGAAAATGCTGTGTGCCTTGCTGTATGTGCACTAATCTAGGTGTAAGTTTGTGGGTGGATTCCTCCATGTTCCCCAATAACTCGTTGGGCATCAAGTGTGGGTCACTTGAGAGGACTACCCCTAGAGTGTGTTCTTCTGGGCTAGGCTAGGCATCTGTACCTGGATCACTTTCAATACACATAGGGTACCTTTACTTCTGTGCTGTTTCCACAATGCTTTGGAACTAGGCTGAGACTACCGTGGGGGAATACTTGTCCTTAAGGTGGGCCGCTACTGTTGGAGATGAATGTACCCCATGTACACTTGCACCATCACTGTTCAACATTTAACTCTTGGATCCCCGTGACAATGTACACTGTCTCTGTAGTTTGCATTTAGAAGGGACATACTGATTCTTGTCCACCTCCAGCCACCCAGCATAACACCAATACCTCACTCCCAGTAACAGTATGGGTTCCTGACATGCACCTAGCACAGACTCCATACATTCACATAACTTCACTTAACTCTTTTGTAACTCTATACAAACTGGGAACCTCTGCAGTGCAAGTCCATATTTGTTGCTATGGGCTACAGACCGCTCACAGAGAGAGTGCCGTCAACTTCTGCAAGAAGCTATCCCACCTATCTCAGGCA